ACTCAGCTGACAAAGAGGTACAGCTCTCTCAAGCAACTGCAATCATCCAAGCTTCCTGCCAATTAAATATTTCTTAGAAAACAGGCATGTTGAAATCTGGCAGGTTCATTTCAGGAGTACTAAAATTTGTGAAATGTTCAAGACTATGATCACACTCTGAAAGAAAGGAAAAATCAAAAGTTGGGGAAAATCATAAATTTGTTTATATAATACTAATTTTTTGTATTTTTAGTAGAGACGAGGGTTTCACCATGTTGGCCTGGCTGGTCTTGAACTCCTAATCTTGTGATCTACCCGCCTCGGCCTCTCAAAGTGCTGGGATTACAAGCGTAAGCCACCTCATCTGGCTTGTTTGTATTTTTATCTGCACTTTTAACATTATAAATTTATGTAAGAAAATACATACAGGCAAAGACAGAATGTCAATTCGTATAAACATAATAACTGAACAGATGAACAAAATAAAAAAGGTTCCATGGTGTTTTTCATCCTTTGAGGGATGGGTGGGATGAGAGTGATGTGGGGATGGAGGAGAAATCAAAATCATGTCACTGTTGCTAAATTCTGACACTGCCAAGATTTGGCTAACGGTAAGCCCACTGTGATAAGTCCAAGTAACTATGGAAATGAAACTGTGAAAAGGATTGCGTGCTGCAAAAACTCAGATTTCTGTAGGTGAAATGTCTCATATTTAATCTTTATGATTATGTTCATTCACATTTCCAATTCACAAAAAATACAGAGAAAAAATTCTAACTTCTAAAAATATTTTACCAGAAACAGTTTTACTCATTTAAAAAGTAATCATCTTTCCATTTTTTAGAAATTGGACCGTACTCATTTTACTTTCATTTATTTATTTTTAAAAGACAGGGTTTCACCATGTTGGCCAGGCTGGTCTTGAACTCCTAACCTCAGGTGATCCACCCACCTCGGCCTCCCAAAGTGCTGAGACTACAGGCGTGAGCCACCATGCCCAGCCTCATTTTACTTTTATTAATTTGCCACACATTTTATGTAATAAAATTTCACCTACCTTCCCAAACCAGGCGATGGTGCTTGAGAATTATTGTAAGAATTCTGTGGAAAAAGTAAAATATACTTAACAAGAACAAAAACTACCACTGCTTTATAAAGTTCTAAATATATCTGAAAGCACTGGGCCAGAGTTGATCTTAAGGAGCTTTAAAAGTTTAAGACAACAAATACACACGTGTGTGTGCATGCATGTGTGTGTGTGTAAATGTACAAAAAAAAATTATAAGGTGAGAGCTGGGGTGTTCTGGAAGACTTCACAGAAGAGGCAAGGAAAGAATGAGTAACACATGGATGAAAGGAAGGGGAATAAGTCCCAGCTACTCCCAACTGCCCGGGATCAACTACAGTAAGCCATGATCATTTTCTTTAAAACTTCCTCTTAAAAAAACGGGGGGGGGGGGAGTCTGGGCAAGGGGACAGGGGAGAGGTGAATCATACTAAGCACAAAGGCTACAGAAAAGACAATGTATGTGCCCCATACAGTTTGCCTAAAGCAGAAGTTTAGGCAAGAAACAGAGAGAGACCTTGGGGCTCTCTCAAGGAGTGTAAACTTGATCCAGTAGACAACTACTGAAGGGTTACAAGTAATAATCAGAGGCAGATTTTAGGAGGATTTATGTGGTGTTAGCCTGAAGAAACACAGGAAAACCTTTTAGGAAATTAAGATAGTAGTCAAAAAACGATGGCATGAAAATAAAAGATCATTTAAAAAATCTAAAAACAGCGGCTGCACGTGGCTACAAGAGTTCTACAATGAGATACACGTACATTAAAAAACTGAAAGAAACCTCAAACTTGTCTGAAAGGTCCCAAACAGTAGGTCCTCCCCTGTTGTGTTTTGCATAAACATGAGGGCAGTTCTGGGGTGAGGACAGGAGACGACAAATTTTGTCTCCTAAGAAATGTACTTTGTACTTTTGCATGCTTACCTTCAGGTGCTCTGTCAGTGTCTTTGAGTACTTCAGAGCATTTTCCTTCTTCAGTTTGAACAGCCTCAGGTACAGCAAAGATTCGCATCGCAGGCTAGCCAATGGAAAAGGGCAGCTTATTTACCAGGACAGCAAACTGGCCAGATCTGCACAGACAGCCTTTGCATTGTGCAAGTATATATAACTGGCTCATGTGACCACAGCACAGGCCACAACACTAACCCTTAGGCAAAACCAAAAGATGTGTTCTTATTGTGGTATACAGCCTAGGGAGAGGGAGACAACTAAGAAGCCTAGGACTAGCGTTTCATTATTTTTTGACATTCCAAAATTCAAACCTCACCTCATAGGACACCAACATGTGAGGAAGTTTTAAAGACTACAAAGGGAGAGAATTTCCAAACCAAATTGTAAACAATCTAAAATTAAGGAACAAAAACTGGGAAACTCAACTACAAACATTACAAACCAAAACATGGCTTACAAAGACCCTGCAGGATCATCCCTGCCTGTGTCTCCAGTCACACCTGCTTCTCGCTGACCTTCTTTTAATTCCTTAAAAGTTTCCCATTTCTTTCCACCATTCAGCCCTTATACATGTTGTTCCCTCTAAATAAAGTAGGTCTCCCTACCCTCTACTGTTACAGTTACATATACTTTTCTTTCAAAATATTTAATTAATATGGACTTGTATGATGATTTGGTTGACTTCTGTCTTCTCATACTAGACAATACTCCATGATGAATAGGGCTCTGTTAGTCTTCTTCTTAGTTGCATTCCCAGTGTTAAACAGAGTGCCAGGTAAAGTAAAGGTCTGTAACAAGTGAACGGATAATATCTCACTGGGATGCGGCAAGCAAGTCACACTCTTTATTCTGAGCAAGGTAGATGTATATGTGAATGGAGAGAGAGGGTACCAAAAGACGAGCGTGGAAAAGTCAGTCCGTGGAGGTTTCTAACATCAGTCCCACCAAACCAAAGCTTTCATCAAGCGGGAAAGGGATCAGAGACTGACAACAACTAAAACCTTTTAGTAGGAATTTTGAGTTACTTCCTGCTTGACCCATCAGGAACAGATTTAAGACAGGATTATAGAAGGCTGATTCAAGGAAAACATTCAGAAGAGCAACATGGCACTATTTATCATAGAACTTCCTGTCATCTACAGAGGCTAGTACACAGAAACTCACCAAAGTACTGTGAGTCGTTTATCTGCAGCTGTAGCATCTGGTGCCAAGTAATTCTTTAGCTTCATAGTGTATCTGTGAGTTACAATAACAAACAAATGACAAACAGAATACTTCACCTTGATCTTATCATTTCACTTGTCCTCAAAACATTAGAATTTCACACCTAAATAAAAGCAAAAATACTCATTGAAGTATCTACTTCTCCTTTATCCAAGGACATTAAAGGATTATACACCCTCTTCAGTTTACTATATATCAGCCTCTTCCCTAGAGGGACCAGAGAAATAATGTTATTGCTGATGATTTGCCAAGTTTTTCCACTTACTTGATGAGATCCACCGTCTCTGAATACATAGGGAATGGGGATTTGGATTCCTGAGCATTTTTCTCTAATGCATTCCCACATTCAATGAAAGATACCACAGCATCAAGATAGTATACAGCTTTCTCAAACCTATCAGACTGAAGAAAGGAGAATACAAGTAATGAGTAGTGGTCTACTATGGCTACAAACATCAAAAGATTATTTAAGTTAATTTGATTAAATACATAAGTTTACGGAGAATATTTACATACCAATGCATCTGCATTGTGCTTTAGCTTTTTTGCTTCTTGTAGATAATGGTCTGCTGAATAATTTCTGCAAGGTAAATTTTCATTATAAATAAAATAGTAAATATTTTCATAAGATAATACCAGTTCATTTCAGTATCTAGTAACCCTCAGTTTTTATGTCCTCAAGCAAATAAAATGAGCTATTACTAAGTACTTGTTTCAATTTTTTCTGACAAATGTTTATATCAGGTTAAAAGCATAAGTTATTTGGCTAACTCATGGCAAATCTAATTAGGAAAATAGAAATCAAGCTCCCTAGTATTAAATACTAAGTTACTCAAGTTGACTGAAAGATTAAGCATAAATAAAATGTGAGAAGAAGAAATAATATTTTATTAAAACAGAGGAAAAAAGGTCGGGCGCGGTGGCTCAAGCCTGTAATCCCAGCACTTTGGGAGGCCGAGGCGGGTGGATCACGAGGTCAAGAGATCGAGACCATCCTGGTCAACATGGTGAAACCCCGTCTCTACTAAAAATACAAAAAAATTAGCTGGGCATGGTGGCGCGTGCCTGTAGTCCCAGCTGCTCAGGAGGCTGGGGCAGGAGAATTGCCTGAACCCGGGAGGCGGAGGTTGCGGTGAGCCGAGATCGCGCCATTGCACTCCAGCCTGGGTAACAAGAGTGAAACTCCGTCTCAAAAAAAAAAAAAAAAAAAAAAAAAAAAAAAAAAAAAAAAAAAAAAATAACCACAAAAAAAAAAAAAAAAAAAAAAAAAAAAACAAAAACAGAGGAAAAAAACAATATTGCTCTTCCTCATCTAAGAAACACTCCATTTTAACAGTGATATCAGCAGTAGTAAGGTTCTTCTACTAAAAGGCAGATCATTCACATCCCCCATGGGAGTCACTAAAGGAGCAGTACTTGGACTAGTGGGTACCTTTCAAATTGAAACTTGAATATGCTGCAGATCATACGTAACTATTCATCCTTCTGATCAATGATAGAAATTAAAATGAGTTTCTTATATGCTGAGTGAAATCATTTCTTAGATACACATACAAAAAATCGTATTATCTTACCTGTCATCAAAGACAAGCTTTGTCCTCCGAGGCTTAGAAGAATCAAGAGTTGGTGCAGATGGAGGACAGTGAGAGGAGCTACTTGGAGCCTTTTCCTGACCAAAAAAATAAATAACTACAATGAAAACTGTAAGGAGATTAAAAATTAAACTAACAGCATTTTTTTCAGCCACTGGTAAAAAGGAAACAAAAATCCATTGCCTTTTTTTAAATTTTTACAATGAACCCTAAGCAGGACATCAAAAAACTCAGTAATTGTTCCTCTCCATGGAAATCTTTAGTAAAAAGCAAAAGATTTATTTGTTATGAAGAGAAACCAGAGCATGTCCATTGCCTTTTGTAATGAATTTCCTTGTTATAAAACTTTTATAAACTTCATAATGTAAACTTTTTTTAAAAAAACAATGGGTCCACTTTATATACCTGTAATATTCATTCTAATATTTATATAAGGGTCTCCTATATGCCAGGCACTGGTCTAGGCAGTTGTTAAAACATAAGGAAGACAAAACCTAATACCAAAATGGCAGCACTACTTACGGCAAAATTTATTGATAGTTACTCGTCAATGAAAACAGCAATAATATTAATAGCACCTAATGTTTATTATGTGCTTATTACTTACCAGACACTAAGTTAACTAAGTTCTTAGCACTGTTTTTAATCCCTCAACCACCTTAGGAAATAAGTACTGCTATTAAGAGAAAATGAAAAAGCAGTCTCAAGGAGGTTGAGTAACTTGTCTAAGTTCAAACAGGTTTTAAGTGGCATTCCTAGAATTTGAGTTTTAACTTCAGAATTGTCAGTCTTCAAAAGCCTAGCTACTTTCTTAAACTTTATTCTGCCT